TAGTAGTAGTAGTGGTGGTAGGTAGTTTTGCTACTTGGTAGTACTAGTAGAAGGTAGTAATGGTAGTGAATCTAAAAAGAAGTTAGTAAAAGGAATTACTACGGCACCTTGCATACCTCGACGAATCCTCCACGTTCTTTTACATAAATATATAACCTATACAAATCGAGCGGTTGCTTCGATATTGTTGGACAGGCGGTGATTGGTGTGCGTCGCTCCTCCATGAATGCGCGCAGCTTATCCAGCCAACTGCGCCTTTCCGGATTATCATCCATTTCGTAAAGTTTACATAGGCTATCTGATTTTTTTGTAGACGATGTACGAAAAGTCTCTTGAGGCGGCACGTGGCTATTGAAAACCTGCTGTAAATTTGTAAATGCAAATTCTCAATCACAACTTCCTACTGATAGTAACTAGCAAAGCAGGTAACTTACCGGACTAGCTGGTGTTCGCGTCCAATTTGGTGGAGAACTCATTTCATACTCCTCACCCGGTCCACCAGGGTGCCCGGGGTGTCCGACCGGCGATGTGCTGGGCGGCGCTAGATGGCTTTGGCTGTATGGATCGTTTTTTCGTGATTTTGGAGTTGTGCATTGTGGATCTTCACCCGAAGCTGTAATTGACATTAGTATATAATATTAGATTTCTTTCAACGCTGTAGACAAGTATTCTCTAACAAATCCCTCAAACTACACCCGAATATTAGCTCACCTGCTGATGCATTGGATAGCGTACTTTGTTGGCTAACTTCGTCGATGGGCGTTCCATCCGGTCCGGTCGTCACCACCGAAGTAACTGGATGTGGTCCCGATGCTGTTGAAGAGCCCGACGAACTAATGCCGTTATCCTGGGAGATGTGTTCGCCATCGCCAGGCAATATCACGCCACTGCCAACGGCGCCGCCCACACCAACCATACCACCACCGGGACCAACCACACCTGGCCCACTAATACCACCCATCGTTTGTGGAGGTGTAATGGTAGGTGGTCCCATGCTGGTAGGTCCATGTGGTGGCCCCATGTGGTGTGGCGGTCCCATTGGCATGCCTGGATGCATGCCAGGTCCATTTCCGTAGCCCTGCTGCGGCGCTGGACCGCTACCATAGCCACCCTTATGTTGTAAATGCTGCTTTAGATAGTTGAGGGGGCGTGGTGAGCCGCCTCCGGGTGGTTGTGGCGGTCCGCCCGGTGGTGGTGTGCCTTTGCCCTGTACATGATTGCCCATGCCCGCTGCGCCGCCGCCACCTGGTGCTCCACCGCTACCGGGTCCGCCTTGAGGTGAGGGTGGCACCCAATTCTGATAGGGTGGATATTGAGAGTGCGGACCACCGGCGCCGGTGTGATTCGGCATTGGTCGACCAGGATATTGAGGGCCGCCACCTGGTGGCATACTATTCGCGGATGTTGGTTGATTTGAAGGCGGCGGTGTGGGCGCATAGCCGCTGGGCGTATACTGCGGACGTGGCGGGTAAGTTCCTAAAAAAA